ATATATATATATATATATATTCCCTACACACAAAGTGAAACATTTCATATTATGCATCTATTTATTTAACGTGGAGTATCGATGATTGGAGCTTACGGCTAAGAAAAACGCTTAATTGTCGATAGAAAATGAATAAGACAATCAAATGTATTTGGAGTGTACTTACTGAATCTCTACGAGTTTTTTATTGAACGACTGAAATAATCGAACTCATCTACGACATTCCGATTTAAGGGAGATGTACCTATGTATCTATATATTTTAGATTACGAGGGCGAATGAGAATCAAGCGGCACTATTTGAACCTAACTTGGGATCAAAACTCACCATTATTTCGGAGGAGTGTTGCCAGGCTAATGACAAGCGGGGACTGGCCACCGTCAGTACGAGACATCCTTGACCGGCGTTGTAGCACTGAGCTGCTGTCGGAAATGACAAGCTTCTCGTTTTGAATGCGCTAACATAACAATCTTGAAAAACAAACACCCAGGTCAACCGGCACCATTTGTCAGAGGAACAACTAACATTCCGAACTCAGCTGCACTGAGCCAGCCAGTCAGGTACGCTAGCTAAAACACTTCCTGGTCACAAGATAAAATGTGTCATGATGACATGACAAACACGCGCAATTGCAGCCTGTTAACGAGCAACATTAATGCGTTCTCACTTGTCCCTGATATTTTCCTGCACAGTAACATAAAGTGGTGTTTTTCATGGCGTTCATGCTGACATCTGTGTCACGTGACGAGAAAGCGACTACGGTGGCCGTGAAGCACTTAAGTAACAACCTTATTACTCTATTATTTTGTTACCGGTACATGGAAATGAAAGTGTTTTTACTCGACTGTATTTGTTTTTAGAACCACTGATTTATGATAGATAATTGTATATATGTAGAATACACATCTACAAATTTAACTTTTTAAATGTATATATTTTTTTCTGAGCAGGACCGAAAGCAAGGAAACTATGGATGCCTATGGACAAAATCCATCCTTTCTCAGAATTGCTTACGATATTATTGAAAACAATGCTTTCGACACTTCAAGATTGTACTCAACACAGATATTTTAAAATGACTCAAATGTCATGTGACTTTTTCAATAAAATCCGTGAGCACTGAGTGGCGCACTTGAGGCGGTAACCATAGAGGCCGAGGCCGTTTCTCCATTTCATTATCCATTTTCCGACCTCGAAAATGTGGATGAAGGACAGGAGGATGTTTAGGTTTTTGTTTCGCCAGTGAATATTCTTGTTTTACGTTGTAACTGACATCTTAAATAATGGGTTTAAATCAACTGACAGTGCTGTCGTTGTTGTTTTTGTTGTTGTTGTTGGGGAGCGGGTGGGGGGTGTCAGGTTGACCGGTCTGTCATGTCATACTGGAATATGATATATTTTCAAGAATCCCTGGATATTATGTAACTTTCAACTACCCGAAAGCAGTGGTTCCAAAACTGCAGTCCCGAAACCAATGTCTGCGAGCTGTAGCAATAAATTATGCTATTATGTTTAAAATGTGAATACAGTACCTTCATATTGGGATCTGATTGGAAATAAAATAAACCAATTACTCCTCCTACCATAGCTTTGGTACAATTAAAAGCCCCGGTGTAGTTACAGTATCATATATTGCCCCATAAATCTGACATTTTTGCATAAATTAATGTGTTATTATTATTATTATTATTATTATTAGTAGTAGTAGTAGTAGTAGTAGTAGTATTAGTATGACAAATATCATGTATTTACTGGAATAGATATACTGTAATTTACAATATTTAAAACATGCCGTAATAACTTTTTTTCTCCAAAAATACTTCAACTAACTTTTTTATTCCAATAACATTTCGGGGTACACGTGGTCGGTATGTTTACCTATCTTTGCCATTATAAGGAGGTGACTGGAAAAATATCTCCCCTGCAAAAAGTTTGACAAGTCCTCAGTGATGAGAATTGTAGGACCCAGCAGACCACCGTACCCCTTGCTTCACCTGTTCGCGTACGCACGAGCAGCCCCCTTCCCCTCCCATCCTTTTTTTTTTTTTTTACTTGGTACTTCCTTCCACCAGACCACGATAATGTCACAAAAGCCAACGCAAATCACAATGCTCCAGCTCTACAGCCTGCTGGTCCTCACCGCGTCCGTCGCCGGCGCCTCGCTGGCCGAGATAGTCTTCCGCTGCCCGGCGTGCACCGCGGAGCGCCTGGCTCTCTGTCCGTGGCTCAGCGACCCTTGCGCGGAAATCGTGCGCGAGCCGGGCTGCGGGTGCTGCCCGGTGTGCGCCCGGCAGGAGGGTGAGACGTGCGGCGTGTACACCCCGAGGTGTGCCGCCGGCTTGCGATGCTACCCGACGCCCGATTCGGAGCTCCCGTTGGAGCAACTGATGCAGGGCCAAGGCCTGTGCCGGCAAACGGTCGACACCGACATCACGATCCAGGAGCACCGGGAGCAGACCAGCGGTCAGTCCGTCCTTTTGTCTGTCCTGTCAGTGTCGAATCAGCTTGTAACACTGATCTGCTTTCCATTGTTTATCAAAACTACAAGAGTTATGCTTTTATTTCAAATACATTGTGATGCTCGCATTAAGGCACGTATGCGGATTCGTGTTGCTAATTTACCTCATGCATTAGACTCCTCTGTTTAATTTCAAATGTCATTGTGTGAGTCCCTGCTGCACAGACCTGGGTGAAGTGCACATGGGGGTGAAGAAGGCAAAAGGAACAGTCCTCCACTCTTGCACCCCTATATAGAGCGCTGCCTTTAACACAGCAAACCAATGCAGTGGCCAGAATTCTCACAAACTACACTCCTTGGATGGAGCTAGAAGAAAAAAAAAATCCCAATGTTGATGTTGACGATTCTTTGAGGGAGTGGAGAGAGCGGGAGACAGCGGGAGGAATGTTGCATTGTTTGGAAAAGCTGGACTTTAGGCTTTGACCTGCAGTAAGCATACACTGCGGTTTACCTAGAAATTGGGCCGACTGTGTGTGCAGGACTCCAGTGAGGCTCATGTGCTTTGTGTTTGTATAAGGACGGGTCACTGCGAAGAGGAAAAGTAAACAGCGTTATTATTTGGATGATTCTGAGGCCCTCACTGAAGCCGGACAACTTGTCGCTTTTGAATGCTTACCCTGAATGACACGTTTATTTTGAACTTGACGTGCTAGACAGTAATTATCCCTATGATAAGTTATCAGCAGTCATCATTATTTAGTTACTTTATGCGACTTAGCACAGAGATCAGCTCAAGTGTTGCTGGGTCAAAAGGCATCAATCATAAAGTGCTTAAAGCTTCCAAAGGCTTCACATCACAGCACTTTTGGTTATGATGCAAAAACATTGGATCAACGTAGCCTCTTGCCCTTGGTGAATAAATGACTGCTGCTGAAAATGTATGACGGAACATTATGTGACTAATTATCCATCCATCCATCCATTCATTTTCAACAACGCTTATCCTGAACAGGGGCGCGGGGAGTTGCTGGAGCCTGACTTTGGGCGGAAGGGAGACTACACCCTGAACTGGTCGCCAGTCAGTCACAGGGCACATAGCAACGATTCACACCCACATCCACACTGTCACTGAGTGGGAACCAATTCCACACTGCCCGCACACAAGTCAGGCGAGTCTTACACTACACCATCAGCGACCTCATGTGACTAATTATAATAATAAAAACAATAGCTTAGATTAGGGCAGTTTAAAAAATAAAAGCACCTTATTCAGAATAACATGTTATTCTTTTAAAATAAGGATGTTCGATACCCCTTTTTTCCAACCGATACCAGTAGGAGTACGCACCAATACCATGTACTGATACCTCTAGAACCTTTGTCAATAATGTTCTGAAGTTTCATTTAACACAATGACAAAACATTGTGAACTAAGCCTTTCTTTATGACGTAGATGATATTTCAAACCGCTGGAACAAACTGCTGGACTTGGGGTCACATTTTCTTTCCCTTAAGTATCCGTGGCTGCTATTGCGAACCTCCATGAGTACACCTAAAATGAGGCCGGTATCATCCCCGGTTTGAAGTTGTATTTTTTGCGAGATTTCACAAGGATGCCACGATAAGTGTGCCCGTGAGTGTGCGACAAATGATTGACGCTTTCTAAATCACGCCTTCTGTCTTTAATTGGTAGTTTTTCTTCAGTTGCGGTGATTTCGCTTGTACAGTGTATCAAACCAAGGGCACAAAATCGGGGCCGGTGACTGCTGATTTTTATCATGTTGTACAGTCAAGTTATAATATATGTTTTACAAATACAGTACTATAAAGCGGTTCAGATAATCGATGGATGGAAAAAGACAATCTTTCCTCTCCCTTTAATTGCTCATTGTGCGCATAATCCAGCCAATTGGTGTGCGTGAAATGTCTTTTGCAGCATTTATTCAGCTTCAAATGGTTAGATGACATCATGCTTCACATCCCACACAGCCTACCCCTACATTTGTCTGCGTGAATGCAGTTACGATGTCAATGTACCTCGGTGCTCCTGGAAGTGAGAGCCGGAGTGGAAAGAAACAGCGGTGCCATCTGAAATAACATGGTTAGCTAACAGGAGCAAGCATTCCTGTCCAGTTGAAGCCTGACAGACTGAAATAGCCTCGAGATAATCCTCCCCACAAAAATCCTCCACCCATCGATGTGGACTTCTTCAAAAACAGTGCCGCACACCCTTGTCGCCCCACTTTCTCCCAATCACGACAGCAACTGCACATCTCGTAGCTGTGCCTAGAATCTTCTAGTGCGTGTACTGAGAACCAGAATAACTTTTCGCCCATTCTGTGCTGAAGTCTTATTTGCAATCAATACAAACACAACATCGCTGCAGGACTCATTTTTTTATTCATCCATCCTTTTAAATTGCTTATCCTCATTAGGGTCGAAAGTGAGCTACAACCTATCCCTGGCTTAGCTGGAGGAGTTGTCTCCAAACCTTAAAGATGAAGAATGGGTTTCCCAGTTGCCCCAGGCGGACCCAACCAAGCATTCTTGAGCAATACGCTTCACTCATGGATGCTCTTCATGCTTTGCCAGAAGTCTGTGAATGAGCATTACTTCTATTCCGTGGCATCCTAAATAATTGTCGATGTGTGAATGAGGCCACATTGTAAAAATGTATTGAGTATTTTGAAAATGGCTTGTGTCTGTGAAATAAGTTGGAAACTATAATGATTATTTCAGTAGGTAAACAGTCAATTGATTATTTTCTTGATTATTTTTTAAAATAATTTTTTTTAAAAAGCATGTTTTAGTTTCCATCTCTTTATTAAAAAAGAGGACTTTATTTGAAAATGGCAGTCCAGAAAATGCACAAACATAAATTAATTATGAGTTAGTTACTGGTTCGGTCCGTAACATGCCATAAAATCAGCAAACGTATTGATCATTGTTTTCCAAAGTAAAAGCTTATGTTTTGTTTTGATTCAACACAAAGATATCAGTCTGCTTTCATGGAGGACTACTGTTGACAAGCTGAAATTTTATCTAAATGATTAATTGATTTTCAAAAATTATTATCAATTCATTTGATAATTGATCGTCATTCAATTAAAACCTTTAAACCGAGGGCAACTTTGCCAAAAACGCCTATGGAAAGGTGCACCCAAAGTAAATTTGTAGCTGTTCTTGAACCATTTGGAGTATCAGCATAGTTTTGGTCTCTTTATGAAATATTCAAAATGTTATCATTTTGAATACCCCCCGCCAACAGTCAGAATCTGTGTAAGTGCTCCTGTCACTGAACTATGGATGTTTGAAAACAGAAAGAAAAGGCGAATCTTATGTTCGTCTAATTTCTTTTCACTTCGTCTAATTTCTTTTCACAACATCTGCCTTGAAAATGGATTTAGAATGTTGATTAGGACTTGAAAACACTACAGGATCAAAGCTTGAGGTCTCCCCAAGTTCCGGTTCAAATTCGACAATTGTAACATGTAGGGTACCATTCAAATCTCCAGAAACTCAGCTTTTAAAAGATGCATAACATGTTCACACATGTACTCAGCTGACGATGTGCATCAGCGATTTGTTTTGACAGATGACGGAGGGCCCTTCGGCGGGCCCTCCTAACTTTAAGGGTTTAATATATTAATCATATCTCTTATGAAATTATTTTCCAGTTGTTGGCCAACAAGATGCATGTACATAAGTAGCCATGTGAGTATAGTGTGTGTGTGTGTGTGTGTGTGTGCTTGTGTGTGTGTGTGTGTGTGTGTGTGTGTGTGTGTGTGTGTGTGTGTGTGTGTGTGTGTGTGTGTGTGTGTGTTTGAGTGCAAGCATGCCAGAACGTGACCAAACAGCAGATTGAGATGAAAAGGTAAACGCTTTCAAAAAACAGTTCCACCCAGTGCTCTGGGGTTGATGAAGAGTCATACCTCTGTGTAATTTAGACATTAACTGGTTCTCTGTTTGAAATTTTATTCAGATTTATGCTTGAAACTTGTTTTGTGCAACAATTTAGGCCTGACCAGATCGATATCAGTCATCCGAGTGTGGCTGAAGACTATTTTTTTTACATCCACTGAAGTGAATGAGCCAGGATTCGCTCTGCTGACCCGAATCTTGACGTGGCACCTCTGGCCTTTGTGCATTCTGGGAATGTGCCATGGATCAGTTTTAGAAAGGAACTCATTGTCTAGGGATTAATCAAAGCAGTAGACTGGACAGTTGGCCTGCTCCTCTGTTTATACTGCTGATCCGAGCCCACCGAGGCCTAACTCCCCATCAAGAGAAGGGGGTTCTGGTGGTGTGGTCCTCTGTGGTTGGCTGCATGTACATACATTGCAAGAGATAGTGGCCTTTGCCCTTTACAAATGGTGCATTCATGTGTGGTACTGCCTAGAAGACCGACATAATGTATGTCGGGTTTTGTCAGAGACAGTTGTATAAATTACGCAAGAGCAGTTTTTAGATGACTAATCATTTTTTGGAGCCCAAAATGCAGACATTTTACAATGGGTCACAAAGCATGGGCCACACACTTCACTTGGTGCCATTTGATTTACAAACACTAAAATCATAAAAACGCTGGGCATGTCTATCTTTATAGTTCATGTAGTCAAACAAAAGAACGAAGGTTGAAAAAAACATTTTCATGAACAAAATAACATTACATCTAAAATACTTTTGCAAAAATACATCTTCCGTTAATTATAGCAGAAATGTCCTTTGGTTTCATCTTTGTCAATTATTATCATCCATGAGCTTTCAGGGTTCATTTAAATGTATTTATTTCAATATTGCTGTACGCCTGTACAGAAGAAAGAAGTTCCAATCGTTTGAGAATTGTAATTTCCTATACTTTATGGCACTTAGTGAACTTTTTAGATTACCTTGTACAAAAACACTCCATATACTGAAATAAACTAAAACAAACACTAAAACTGCTCAGAATAAACTGAAAACAAACAAAACTAGAACTAATTCAAAGTCTTAACAAGATAAAAATGAACTACAATGAGAAATCCAATCCTATTATAACCCTTGCTTGGGGAGACACATTCTGGTCCTGCATCCTCCTCCTAATGTCTGCAAAGACATATAGTAAAAGTGACTTGCTCCTTGAGAAGGAGTACATGGGAAAGAATAAAAGAGATGCGTAGGGGTATATTGAGAGACTAATTTTGTTCCCGTTCACTTGAATGTGCCCAGCATGATGTGTATATTTCTGAAGTACATTTTAGCGACAGAGACTGCATGCTTCGCTATTTCATCCACAGATATATATGAAATAATTAAGCAGCCCTTGAGCAAAGCAACTACGTCTTAAAAGAATATGGCACTTTCTGACTGTGAGTCATCCCCCAGGTGAGGCCTCGGAAGTGTTCTTCGAGTCAGGCCTGGGTGACGTCCGCTTACCCAGTAAGGAAACCACTTGGATGGGGCAGAAGGAGAGTGCTGTGCGACACCATCGTCAAGAGATGATGACAAAGATGAAAAGCAACAAGGTGGAAGAGCTTAAACCGACTCGACCCAAACAGGTGAGGACAAGCCGGCAAACGATGTACTGATTGCAACAAGGCCATATTCATCGATGGACTTCTAAAATCAAACCTACTCCAAGGAGCTGGATTCATCCATATTTCGAAAACAGTTTACCTGCTTTGCAATGTGATTCTGCGTCAGGTATCCTCAATTAATCCTTCATTTCTACATCTTCTTTTATTTACATGTAATTTCAGGTGAGAGCAATCCGGTATCGTTGTGTTTACATTCAGTGAACACACGAAACAACCCACATGCACAGTTGCAACAACAACAAAAGTTATGTAATAGTCAACATTGGGCGGTGACAACACAGACATAAACCATATTAAATGCTGTAGGTTGCTGTCAGCTGTTCATTTCTTTCATTATTTTATCATTCATCCATTCCCAATATGCTCTATTTAGACCATATTTTTTTCTGCATGTGTATTTTATGTAGACTTGAAAAACCTCTTAAATCTGAGCACAGATGTGGTGATCTTTCTCATAGTCTTGATTACTCTGTGCCTTGTTTTGGGCAAAAGACTCCGTGTCAGCAGGAACTGGACCAGGTGCTGGAGAGGATCTCCAAGATGCCCTTCAGAGATAATCGAGGTCCCCTGGAGGACCTTTATGCCCTGCATATCCCTAACTGCGACAGGAGAGGGCAGTATAACCTCAAACAGGTGAATAATAAACGTTTCATCATTGGGTACCACTGACCTGACTTGAAATGATGATAAAGACTTGTTTTGTTGGTTGCTCCGTCAGATTAGTTTTAGGTTTTTTTTTTGTTCTAATATCTATCTATCTATCTATCTATCTATCTATCTATCTATCTATCTATCTATCTATTTATCTATCTATCTATCTATCTACTGTGTGTGTGTGTGTGTGTGTGTGTGTGTGTGTGTGTGTGTGTGTGTGTGTGTGTGTGAGTGTGTGTGTGTGTGTGTGCGCGCGCGTTTATCTCTCTCTCTCTCTCTCTCTCTCTCTCTATATGTATATATATATATATACACACACACATACATACATACACACACACACACACACACACATATAGAGGCGGCCTTGTAGTCCAGTGGTAAGCGCGTGGACCGCACAGTGCAGAGGTACCGGGTTCACTTTCAGCTCTGGCCGGAGTTTGCATGTTCTCCCTGGGACTGCGTGGGTTTTCTCCGGGCACTCCGGTTTCCTCCCACATTCCCAAAACATGCATGGCAGGCTGATTGAACACTCAAATTTGTCCCTAGGTGTGAGAGTGAGCGTGGATGGTTGTTCGTCTTTGTGTGCCCTGCAATTGGCTGGCAACCGGTTCAGGGTGTACCTAGCCTCCTGAAGACAGCTGAGATAGGCTCCAGCACGCCCGTGACCCTTGTGATAATAGATAGATAGATAGATAGATAGATAGATAGATAGATAGATAGATAGATAGATAGATAGATAGATAGATATAGAGATCTCTCTCTCTCTCATATATCAAGTGAATGTCATTAATAGTTTTACAGACAAAATCGCAAAACTGCCTAGGGGCAGAGTGGCAAGCCTCCATCATCGTTTTGTGGAAGGCATTTTGTAATAGGTCTGTCAAAATAATTTGCTTAGGTTGTGTTGGAGTCATTTAAAAAAACATCATGGCTAGCCTGCAAGCTAACATGAGCTCTATCACATGCCATTGATTTCAGTATCAAAAGAGAACATGTTTTACATTAATCTGAGCTACAGAAAAGTCAATTAAATAAATAGTTCCTCACTGATCAGATTAACTATGCCTTAACTTCCTTCAAGTCTATTTTCTAAGCAACTTACATGTGGAAATGCTAATTTGTCTCTGTGTTGTGTCTTCCATCTACCCGGACGTAGAGTGTGTGTATGTGGCATCATGGTGAAATGTCTTTATTGATTTGATAGGGTCTTTTTTTTAATTTTTTTTATTTTTTATAGGCTACTAATACAATTGAACTTGTAATATAGTTCTTATATTGTACAAAAAATGTTGATGACTCAACTCCAAAAAAATGTTGTTTCAGTGCAAGATGTCTCTTTATGGTCAGAGGGGAGAGTGCTGGTGCGTAAGCCCCCACAACGGTCAAACCATCTTAGCAGCCCCCATTGTGCGGGGTAACCCCAACTGCAGCCAGTACCTTTCGGAGCTGGAGCTGGAGATGGCCAACATGGAGCAGATATAATGAAAATAAACAAAAAGCAACTGTGAAGCATATGGGAACAAACAACGAAAATGAGTAAGTGAGGTGAACTCGGAAACAGCATAATGTTAAACTTAACATGAAATTAAAAAAAAAAAGATTTGCAGGTTCAAAGGGCTTCTTTAGTTTTATTTTGTGTCTTTAAGCTATACAGCCGTGCATCGAGATACTAATTTGTTTTGTGACCATGTTTGTAACTCTCAACACTTGTATCTCATATCATCTGAATCCATTGGAATGAATGTAAGTGCCCCCCGCACCCCCCAAAAAAACACAGCACTCTATTATATTGTATTTCGTGAAAACATGCAGTAAAAACATGATGAAGTAGTTGGCATTCTGCTGCTCTCCCTGGTGCTTACACCTTGGCCACCGGGGGCAGTATCATACTGACAAGGATGTACATGGAGCCTGTTTGTGTTTTGCATTGTTGTCAGAAGCACAATAGACCAATAAAGAAAAGTTATGTGGTTGTTTTAAATACATGTCATTTTCTTAGTTTTATGTTTATTTTGACAGGAAAATTCAACAGGGAGTGGCTTGAAGCTTCTTTTTGAAGACTTCACTATCTGCCAAACTGCTGGTTGTTCAGTGATTTGAGTTCACTGCCACCATACAGTGCGCATATTTCAAGTGTTAGTTCGCATATGAAATCAAAAATAATCTGCTGAACAAAGGCTGGCATCTCGAAAAATTCATAAACTGGGTCACATGTATCTCAAGGTATCCCTGTAGGCTACTGTTGTGAAAATCTGATTCTGAATAGAACTGCGCCCAGCGGAGCGCTGGCCTCGAATTCATATTGTAACCAAATTTTACACCTTCCTAGATACATTAAGCTAGTGCCATGATGATCCATGCCTTGTTCACACACACACACACACACACACACACACACACACACACACACACACACACACACACACACACACACACACACACACACACTCTTTTTATTTGCCATATCGAATCCACGAGTGCCTGAAGCGATGGACGAGAGGAACAGGCTACCCATGAGTTGACCTTTGCAAGGCAGGACATATGTCACTCTACCATTTAAAAAAAAAAAAAAAACAGGAAACAGGAGGAAGCTGACGGCTGAAAAAAAAAAAAAAAACGTCTAATCAAATTGTCATCCATCAACATCCACGTCTGACTCAACCACCAGAAGCACCACACAACCGCATGCAAATCGCAATTCAAACAGGCATGTGGCCAAAGGCACTTGGATATCCATACGAACTCAGCGACCGTACACATGCAGCCAGTTGCCATTACCTGGGTGGATTTGCTTACAATCTGGCGCTTATTGACCCATACGGACAACACCAAAACTTTACATATTTTTTGCGTGCAAGCCCCAAAAGATGGGAGTGAGCTTTTCTGGAAGGGCATGCTAAATTAACATTACACAGACAGACACATACTCGCACATTATTATCAGGAACATGAACGCGTAGTGGAAATACATTTATTGAAAAGACAGTGATGTCATTCCTTTGTCTCAAAGCACATACAAAAGCAGGGGTCACCAACCTTCTTGAAGCTGAGAACTACTTCTTGGGAACGGATTAATGCGAAGGGCTACCAGTTTTGTATGAACGTCTGAAATCAGAAATGTCTTCAAATTACCTTTTCATAATGGTATTATTAGGGTCTGTCCAATCTAATACACTAATATTAGCTTTTTAAAAAATACTGTAAGCTGCGATTGGCTGACAATCCGCCTACTGCCCAAAGACGGCTGGGATAGGCTGCAGCATCCCCCGCAACCCTTGAGTGGATAAAGCGGAACAGAAAATGGATGGATGGATGGCATATGGATGGATGGATGGAAAAATACTGCAGTAAAAAAATCTGCCAAAAAACGTTAGTTTATTTGTTTATTTTGTACACATTAAGACAATAATTCATAAGACAAAGATAATGACGTTCAAAGTAGTCAGAAAATCCACAGATTTTTTTTGGGATACTATTGGTTATCGGAATTTCAGCGACAGGCTAAAAATAAATCTGTATCCGATAGACTCTCTTATTATGTTCATCATATCATATTATGTTATGATTATGAATTCATGGTATTCATTTATGCAAATGCATTGATCATGTTTTCTCATTGTTATGAAACAGAACAATATATATACTGTATTCAGCATTTTATTTTCATACATATCTGCCAGTGTTCAATTCTGAAAAGATCAATTTTACAACATTCCTGGGAAATCAGTTGTTCCATCACTTGTGAGCTATTTTTAGAACAGGCCGGCGGCCTGCTCATGTGGTCCTTGGGGTGCTACCTGGTGTTCGCGCCCACCATGTTGGTGACGTTGGTGACCCCTGCACTAAAGCATCAAATCAGATTCCCGTATAGTTTCAAAGATTACTGTTATGCACTGTGACACTTTAAGCATGTTTTGGTCTTTAAATGATTGTTCTTTATTTGGGATTTTTGCCTGGCAGAAGCATTTCTCTACATTTACATGTCATGTAAAAATGAAATTAGTATTCTGAGTTTCTTGGCAGTACGAAGGGCAGTCAGCTCCCTTCCTGCGAGCATATGAGCAAGTACAAAAAAAAACTTTTAAAGCCTGAATCAAAACATCATGGAATTCATACTCGTTTGCTAATGGTGGAGTTGCCTGCTCGCCTCGAGTCACAAAAAATATAAATATGTCTCAAATCATCTCATAGGAGTTGAAGCTTCCATGCTTGGATCTTAGCTTCTAGTCACATTAAAATATGTAATGTGTGTGTGTGCTTGTGTGTGTGTGTGTGTGTGTGTGTGTGTGTGTGTGTGTGTGTGTGTGTGTGTGTGTGTGTGTGTGTGTGTATACGCATAAATGTATGGTCTCTTAATTTTTTTGCCCAGAGCTGTCTATATACGGTGGATCTCAATAATTTAGACGATCATAGTCAGAAATTGTCTCTACTTTGGTAATTCCACTAGTTCAATTAAAAATTCATTTGGGGTATCCATTTGATGCACTCACATCTTTGAAATGAAAAACTGATTTTCCCATTCAAATCGTTTTTTGTTCCACTTATATACTGGTTAGATTAACTTTGCACACAGTGAAATACAGTATCAATTTCGCTCATTTTATTAGTGATTACAGCTTACAGCTAACAAAAACCCCAAATTCATCATCTGTAAACATTTCAACATTACATCATAACAAATCAAGGTTCTTTTTTGACACCAAAAAATGTTGGTACTGTATTCTAAGAAACATGTTCATTCATATGCATTTGGAGCTGCTTTTGCATTGTTTACTGCTTTAATGCAGTGTGGCATGGATGCGATGGCTCTGTGACACTGCTGAATTTTGAAGGAAGCCTCGGTTGCTTTGACCATAGGCTTGACGTCATCTGCTCTACATTATTGGCTCAAGTGTCCCTGAGCTAGGCGGGGACCGAGCCCTCCTGGTCCATCTAATCAACAGCCCCATTAAGCTGGTCAGCAGAAAAAAATGCATTAAGTGATCCAAAATTCACTCTAACTCCTGCCCCAGTCCACTCATAGTTTGTGAAATTCCTCCAAATTTTTGGAGGGATTTTGCTTGACAATTCTCAAGGCTACGGTTACCCCTGTTGCAATGCCCATCTTTTTCGCCCGCACTTTTTGCTTCCACGACTTTTTGTAGTGATGTTTGTGCATGTATTTGTGCTTCCTGATCAAAAAGTATTGATTGCTTGCTTTCCTTGGGAGGATTTCAATGATTATCCTCTGGACAATCGTCAAGTCAGCAGTGATGCACTGAAGCAAACTTATAGAGACCATTTAAAGGCTTTGGAGGTCTTTTGAATCATTAAATACTCAGAGTGCCGCATCAGTAGTTAACGAAACTGATTTTTTTTTTTAATATATATAATATTGTAATTATGTGGGATACAGGACTGAATGTAGGACTTTTGTTGGCTGTAAGGCTTAATCATGGCAATTAAAAGTTGCCGATAAGTTTCACTTTCTGAATTGAACTACTGAAATGAAGGACGCTTTCCACGACATTTAAATTTATCGAAATGCACAAAAACATCACACACACACACACACACACACACACACACACACACACACACACACACACACACACACACACACACACCCACACACGCAGTCCATTTAAAGCCACAGTTACAGTATATAACCTATATGAGCAAGCGTTTCAGCTTCCCTTTTCAAACAAGAAGTTCATCATGTCCACACGGTGATGAATGAGACTGCTATTTGCACTCAAGCTCACTCATTCCGGTTGCTGCTGCTGTCCAAGTCTTTGCACTGCAAGTCACCACCGGCGTAGTTTATGCCAGGGACCTTGGCACCGAAGCGATCCACACACCAGCAGATCCCCCTCCTGCGCCCGCGGGATGGCTTGCACTGTGATCGGAGAGGTGACGGGCTGAAGGTGTCATTTAAGTAAACACACAAAGGAGGAAGAGGAGAATTCCAATGTACCTGTTTGCGCTTGAAGAACCCTTTTTTGTCGCAGTTGGGGATGTACAAAGACAGAGCCAAGACCCGTGATGTGTCCTTCATGCTTTGAATCAGGTGATCCAGACGTCTCCGGCAGGGCCCCTACATAAGGGACAATATGGTTGCTTGCATTTGCGCTTTGCAGTATAGTTGACATTCAACATCTGAAGAGTCTGCTCCCGAACTCTCTTAAATGTTTGGAAAAGATGTTGCTACTTGAACGTGAAAATGGCTCTGCGAAACTCTGCCTCTGTGGTGCATGAAGGCTATAGTCAAAACTGATTGGGTCCAAACACAAATAAGGCTTAGAGAAGAGTGATGAGTGAGTGCTGATCACGTACAAATTCAAGTTCCAGTTTCTCCGGGCCATGCAGAAGGAAGTTGAAGTTGCTGTTGGGTCCCACCCGTGCCAGCTGCTTTTTGCGGTCCTTAGCCTGCTTCATTGCCTGGGCCTTCCGACTGCTAATGTGGTCCCGTCCGTAAATGGGCACCTTGGTTTGGGGCATCATGGACTCTGGGACAGGGAGTAAGATATCATCATGAGATTCTCAGACCCAAAGACCTACTGTAGGTCAGATGTCACAAATGGGGTTGTCAATCACTGCTTCTGGGCCATTATTAGTCATTGCGATTTGTATGTGAGAATAAATTACTTTTTGAAACTACAGACATCTGAAGAAGAAGAAGAAGAAGAAAGATGTAGACGGAAGTTAATTTGTGCAAAATGACTATTACAGGGACTCCGTCCTCGCCTTCACCCACACCACATCTGTTAAATAGGCCAGGTCCATTTGTGCATTTCCAGCACCCTCTGGTGGTTAGTTTATTAGTGCAGTTTAATTAGAATTAGGCATGTTTTTTCTCAGCCACACTCATGACCAGATGAAGGGGAATGGAACATGTTTGCGTCCCTACACACTTGGACTCAATTCACAGTCTGTGCATTAGCAAGTAAGTGCCTTAATATTAAGTGTTATTCGTGCTATAAGCCGAACACAGCATTGTGTACTACATAGACCATGATACTTTGTGTCGCTGAGCCAATAGCAGCACTTGATAATAAAATGACCGGCCAATCCTATTTCTTTGGCACTGTTGTTTTGTACAAAAACACAACATTGTGCTTTTTTTCAACCTAAGTTTTTTTTAAACAATATTGTATATGTATTTCATTATTTGAGGGTGTTTTACATTTGTCAGTGATGTACATGACAAATAATTTGGGACACAGCACTGACCCTTGTGGAACCAACACACCCTGTCCATACAAGTTGTTTGGCACTCATCCATTTTTACAAGTTGGTTCCTGTTAAGTAACACTAAACACCGTCTCTAGTTCTGTAATTCCATGTTGTTGTAATTCTGAGATTAAACTTTTTTTTTGTTTTTTTTGTATCAAATTTCTTTCTCTAGGTCAATGAATACTCCATTAGCAGGTTTAGATTTGTCTGTGGCTTTTGTCACTTTTTCTGAATCCATATTGGTTACTGGTGAATCAATTATGCTGATCGAGAAGTCATCAAACCCGACAGTGATTTTTTTTTTTTTTTTAGCCTATAGGCCTAAACATGTCTTGTTCCATTAAGCAACTGCTGGCCCATTTCCATTGCTATGTCACGCATAGTAGCATTTTCTCCATCTCATTGCTACGTGACCCAATACGACTGATCGCTAAGCTACTAAGCTAACGGGGTGGTGAAACAAGGTCACCATCATTAGACCCTCCTCCAATACTCCCCCTTCCCCTTCGCCACAAAAGCTCCCGCCCTTCCAATGACGGTGATGTAGATCACAGTGACGTCATCCCTCTACATAATGACTTCTTGGAAACGGGTTCCTGCTGACACAGTTATTCACTGTGTCCCTCTGGAGAAAAAAATAAAAATAAAAAATCGAGGCACGACCCGAATTATATGTCCATCAAGTCTTTGCTTGCTAATCCTCACCCAATCTGACCTGTACTGATGAAACATGTTGTTGCAAACTTTCGCACGTTGATATTCTCGTATAAATTGTGATGTTTGGTTGCACACCTCCACATGGAATGTGCTCAATGCATGTAGGCAAAAGGGTAAAATCGTTCCCCGGCTAGCTACTGCAGCATGCTGATCATCAGATTACGTTTGTGTGGCCATTTATATTTTTACAGACCAGAGCTGATGTCACCTATTTGTATTAGTTGCTACAGATTTGTAAAATCTTATGACATCGGGTATACTGGAACCATAGTTGAAGGAGACAAGATGAAAAGACAACAGATGGGTGGTCCTCAGAAAGTATGGTCCATGAGTGTAACATGAGAGCCCAGTGAAAAACCAGGTCAAAATGATATATGCTTTAAATCAAATGTTCCTGTAGTGAGCTCTGAAGGAATAAAGATAATTCACTCAGCCCTTTGTTTGCAAGAGCTTTCTGAATGTCGTGGTCTGCTATATTGTGTCATCTTGGAGCACTTGGTAGCTACGCACCAAGCACGAAGCACTCAAGCACAACGTAAAAAAAAAAAAAATAATAATAATAATATTCAGTTGAAAAAACTGATACAAAATGACCAATTGTGCATAGAAAAGCGATGCATTACATTGGAGGGACAGTAGACACCGAGAAATGATTGTTGTTCGTTTTGCAAAATATGTAATGCTGAACTGACTGTGCTCTATTCACATGCTGCTTACTAATGCGGAAGAATTCAATCAACAATGATGTGTGCATCTAGCGTGAAATAATCTATGTATTTTATTGGCTGTGCGTTACCAATAAAATAAAAACAAATTGAAAAAAACGTGCTTGGCATGTATCTTACTTGGTCATTGTAGATTTAAAAAAAAAAGAGTTCAAAAAAATGTCACCATCGTATTTTGCAGGGAACCCATTGAATTTCCTGTTCAACTCACTTAGGTCGGTCCAGGGGAAGTATCCAGTATAGTAGTAGTAGTCGGTGCTACCTTGGGGGAAACATTTTTGTCAACGTGTTATCGCATTATGGACAGTATGGGACTCAATTCAACGGTTGATGTGTTGCATTGACATTCTGCTAGTTTATTGGTAACAACTATTTTTGAAATGGATCCATTTTAAGGGTATAAAGGGCTCCTAATTACATGGGTGTTTTGGTATGTCACAAAGAGAAATTAGCTGGGTTGGCTATTTTTCACCACTCAAAATAGTGTACATTCACTGAGAAACAAAAGCACAAATCTCACTTGTTTATTTTATCTCTGCAGTTTGTCTTCAATTTTGCGAGCGATGAACTCTGGTGACTGATTGTAAAGGGAAAAATTGGGTCAGCATTTTGACCGTCCTGTTTGATCATACAGTCTCAGAACCACCCAATACATGCAGGCAGCGCATGAAGTAATCGACACCAGTCAGATGACATAAAATCCAAAATATGACAAAATGTTGTTTGAACAAGCAATCAAAGTGTGAAACGTTTGACAGGCCATTTACTGAGCAAGTTGCAAGCAGTCCCACTTATCCACAGCTGCGAGAGACAAACAAAAGAAGGAACCTGCTCTGATTGGAGGTTGGATTGAATGCCTGCAAGTATATAATATCGTCCATGTTACATTAAACACGTGGAATCTTGTTGACTAAAACCTTGCCTCATATTTCTGGGCCTCAGGCGAATGTCACACAGCCAAGCTAGCTCATTTATGCCCGGTGGGAAAAAATGGAGACGAGACATTAACACGGGAGAGAATGGCGAAACATGAGACATAAAGATGGTGCGTGAAAAAAAAAGGTGCGTCACACCAAGTGGAAAAAAAAGACAAGAAACTCAAGTAAACAGTATTAAATATGACTTGACACATTGCAGGGTCACTCAAAGCTCAACATGCACAGTGCTGCTTCCCGGCAGACATAATGACTCCATGTCACATCGCTAAGCCAACTAGAAGCCTTACAAGGTACCACCTATAATTTTCTCCCTTGTTTCCCCGATCCCCACCCCCGCCCCCAAAGGCAATTGGCCCCTCTCTCTCTCACACACACACACACACACACACACACACACACACACACACACACACACACTTCATGATTTATGGTGTGCAGCCGCACTGCCTTTCAGGGTTAAAATGACAGGTTGATTGACACCCATTGTTGAGTTCACTGGGACAGGGCGTGATGGGTGCGGTGGTGGGTTCGAGCAGTGGGATACTTGGGGGGTCTTTTGAATCATATGCTCTGGTAATGACAGATGTTGGGCTATCTTTAAAGGGTGGTTAGACACTCCGGCTCTCAGCCTTGCTGGCTCCAGAAGGTTAACATCTCCAGTCATTATCCTCTACGCCATTGAACAAACAGGCAGCATTTATGAAGTGCGATCTAACCACCCGAAGAACACAGCATATGCACTGTGGGAGGAAGTTCATACTGAGCCAATATTAACTGAGTTAACCCAGAGCGCCAGTGATTCCCAATCAGGGTGCCGAGGTACAAGTGTGGCATGAGAGATCATCATGGGTGACACTGAATTTATCCACATTCACTTTTCGTCTGAAAATTATTATGTATTGAAAAAATATATCTTTGTTCATCAGAACAATTGAATGCTCTTACATTAGATGGCCGAAGGTACAACAAACCTGTGTATCAATCATGTAGAACACAGATGTCAAACATTTTTGTCGCGGGCCACTTTCGAGTTACGTCTTCCCTCGGAGGGCCGTTATGGCAGCGAAACCACAAAAATGTTTCATCGCATGATCGCATTATTACTTTTAAGGGTAACAAAATTATTGCAAAATCTCAACATCATTTATTACACGTGACAATTTGACATTTCGGTACTTTTTTTTTTTTAGCAAGGATCATGCAAGTTGGCACAGATGATTTTCTTTGGGGGGGGGGGGCACATCAACTGATGTGGCGGGCCGGATCTGGCCCCCGGGCCTTGAGTTTGACACTGTGATGTGGGATATAGCTTGTCACTTGTTGCTATTTGGCCCCTAATTGGACTTTTAGTGATGAGATGATCCGAATTATTGCAGTGGGAGCTTTGACGGGTGCATGCAGGCTGCGGGCCTACCTTTGCCTTTCGAAGGCTGCAGCAGTTTGTACAACTTCTCGTTTCTGCACACACCCCGGCCGTGCAGGAGGGCGTGCAGAGGCTTCTCCTCGCCGTTTTTGGGAAGGCATCGCAGCCCGCGAGTGCACGGCCCCGTGTACACGCCGCAAGACTGGCCGTCCTCAAGCGCGCACGTCAGGCAGCAGCCGCAGCCGGGCTCCTTCACCACCTGGCAGCCCACCGGCACCGGCGGGCACATGGAGCGGGCCTTCTGGTCACAGGGCTCGCACGGCACGTACGACGCACCGCAGCTTGTGACGCACAGCAAGGGGAGCACCAAGAGGGACACGCTCAGCAGCATGGTGCGCGGGATGATTTATCAACTGGAGAATCCTATGTGTGCCAAAGACTGGAGTCCGAGCATCAAGCGGATGTTTGCTGCATCCACAGGTGCGCAAAGGTGTCACCGTAGACGACCAGTATCGCAATTAATAACCAAAATAATCGAGCCCCTAGTTCTTCAACTTTGCGGTGAAAAAAAAGAAAGAAAGGTTTAATGTGCACGTAAAGATCCAGACGCAGCGCTGGTCTCTCTCCCCGTCTTCCTCCTCCTCGTCTTCTTCCGCTTCTGCCTGGCGCCGATCGCGCGCAAAAGCTGTCGTCTCCACGCGAGAAAGACCGCGTCTGTTTGGCCCCGCGTCGCCCTTCTCTGCCTCGGTGCCTGCGTGTGAGCAGAATGTGTAATCTGTGGCTGGCGTTGAGCTGGACTTAAAAAAAAAATCCCAGAGGCGAAGCCTGAACGATGGGGATGTCAAACAAGGCACGCGGAGGGGGAGGCGCACTTGTCAAGCGTGCAGGCTGTGATGCTGATTCTGCAGGGCGGGTACTGGCATGCCTTCAGATAGGAGACGGTGATGTGACTGAGGCCGACTCAGTAGGACCACTACCCCCCACTCATATGACTCAAGTTTGAAAGGCAACGTAAGCATGTCAACGAGAAAATAAAGAAAAGTCTGAGTAATGTTTGTTTTATTATTTGGGGGGGAGGGGGGCATCAATCAATTTATCAACCTCTCTCTCTCTCTCTCTCTCTCTCTCTCTCTCTCTCTCTCTCTCTCTCTCTCTCCAGCAGTGGTTCTTAACCTTGTTAGAGGTACGGAACCCAACCAGTTCATATGCTCATTGAACCTTTAGTAGTGAAAAATAAAAATGATTTTTTTTACAAATTCAAGACATTAAAAAACGCATTTATTAAAAACAGAAAAAAAGTAAACAGAATTAGTACAAGTATAAAGTTTAAGTATTTTAATTGTGCACAAAATGAACCAGCCAGTGATGGCCAAGCGGGCGAGTCATAATTAATTGACACATTGAGTCAGGTGGGTCTTATCCTCCAAGGCAGAGGATCTGTCGAACCTCTGAGACTGATTCACCGAACGCCTAGAGTTCGATCAAACCCAGGGTAAGAACCACTGCTCTACAGTATATATGTGTGTGTGTGTGTGTGTGTGTGTGTGTGTGTGTGTGTGTGTGTGTGTGTGTGTGTGTGTTATGTACACATCCAGTTATTTTGAGGGTTACTCTAGTAAGGTATGAGCCTTGGACTGTGGACCAACATTGCGCACATCTCTTGCATGCTCTTTTTAGCATTGGAAACAGCCTAACAAGTGTAAAAGTAAGTTCATCTTTAATCCACAACTGAACTTTTAAGTTAGATGACAAGTGATGAACGTGCAGAGTGGAATTCTTTCAAATGCATGCAGTTCTTTTATTGTTATTAATGACTTGGTATTTTAGTATCATGATAAAAATGCATGACTAGCTTCTTATGTTGTTTAACTGGTTTATTATACTTCTTCTCTTTGCCACAATTGCAGCCTTCAATGGTGGCACCACGAACACACTATTTTTTCTAACTAATGCTCAATGTGCATGTTTTATGTGACGCCATGCTGCAGCTACAGCCAAATGTTATTGTTTGCCTTCAGAGACATTCATTTCTCCCACAACCTTTGGGTTGAATTCCTATTACCATATCACTGTGGTTTAACTTCTGTCATAAACGTTTTTATTGTTTTTAATAGTTTTCTTTTCCTTATTTGGGGCTTTATATCTCCAGAAACTGCATTACATCTGAGCAGCATAAAATGGTGAAAATTAACTTAATTTAAAAACCATATCAACTTGACACAGGTGCCAAATAACAGCACTGGATGACATACACATACAGCATTCTGTGTTTTTTTATTCCGACAAAAGAAGACAAGCTTTGTTGCATTAAAAGCTCTTGTCATTTTCTGGTTCAATTCACAGGAAAGCAAAGATAGTAACCATGCAACTAAATGCAAAGTATCTGTGCGTGGATCTGACCTGAATTGTACGACTAATATGAATTTTCTCTTCCATGAACATCAAGTTATCTGCCTGAGCAAAAACAGACACACCTCCTGGCAAAGGAAGGTACTGAATATAAAACACTTCTCCCAGCCACAACAAGCTCCCTCGCTTGTAATCAGATCGCCACCCTGCACGTTTGCAGGGCGTCCACTGTAGCAACATGTAAAAAGTCAGCAGGCTTGCAGGAACAATATGGATAAAAGTCTTGAGACACGCCACTAACACCAGTAAATCAACCTGGTTCTGCAAGAATGAATGCTTTATTGACTATAATGCGAAATGTCTTGAATAATTTTCGCCTTCCACTTTTATTGGACCAATTTGAGGAAGCCCCAAACTGCACAAAGCAAGGTCTGAAAAGCTGAGATGAGGACAATTCTAAAAGTCTCCAGTGGGCTAACATCAGTGAAGACAAAGCACAACAATCTCCCAGTCTTAAAATCCCTAATTATTTTGTTTAACTTTCCCTCTGTGCCAGTAAATTTGTCTGCTTAATCATTATCACACTGGCCTTTTATTTATTTATTTTTCCTCTGAGTCTGGCGGTCATCAAGAAGAGGATTTCTCATATTCTCAAACATCCTCGAGGGGCAGTGCTCTTTGTAATGAAAGTTAGAAAAAAAATTCGTTCATACTGCTCTCATCATGGGTTCTCTCCTATTGTTTCGCCAGTTCTGAGGCTCGGCTTTCACATCCTGACCTACTTCACAATGTGCCAAAGGACGCTGCAGCTGTTGTGCTTATGGAAGAGCTCCTCGAGTCAACCTCAAAAGAAGAATCAGCGGATGAGACCCGGATGCTATTTGACTCTGAACGAGCTTTGATATGAAGATTGGGATCTGACGCTCTATTTCTTCTACGTGTTTCTTTCAAAGAGATCCACAGACAGATCTTGCCCACTTGTGTTATAGTAAAATGGATGTATTTCTCCACGTGGACTTCGGCATCTATCAGCAATCCTGTTCACGTGTATGTGGCACACTGTCAGCCCACCACATACCCCATATTACCGCCAGTGTTGCAGAAGCCTTGCCGCATGCGTAATGAACGCTGAATCAATGTGAAATGAAATCCAAGTTGAGTGTGAAGTGCAGATGGTGCTCGTGCATTTGCTTCCCGCCAAGCATATTAGCATGAAATTCTCAGGGAAACGGAAGAGTGTTGCACCTGCTTAGCATGACTAATGGTGGTTTAAGCAGGCATTTTTGCCCAGATAACTGTCACGATGAAATCTTTGGCGGAGACAAGCTTCGTGTTTCCAACAACAGCAGTTGCTATGTTTGCTGGGGGAAAAAAATCACAGAGTTTATGATGAGAGAGAAGTGATGATAATGTAGCAGTAAAGCCACAGTTGACATGTAATGGTCTGGCTACTTTTGCAACAAGGCAACTAATTGGCTGCACAATTACCCTCTGGGGGTCACATACTGTACTGTATTGGTAATATGTTACTTGACTTTATATATATGTATATATTTGAGTTCTGTCAAGAGGTTAAAAATGTGAGATTAATTAAATTAATCTATATTTTAACCTCATCTAAAAATTTCTGAGAAACCCCCTATTTTCATTTTAAATCCATTTTTGAGGCAGATCAAAAGATTAACATCACAAAAAAGCGGCATAATATTTTATTGTTTTTAAATCGATTTCAACAGATGCAGTCCTAGCCATTTACTTTCTGCTGTATTTGAGACGAGTCCCAAGTCCTACCTGCAACCTTTAGTTTCAAGACCACCAGGGCGTATATCACTGGTTTTTTGTATTATATAAGTATATAGGTGGCATGATGGTCTAGGTGCAGGGTTCGATTCCGGCTCTGGCTTTCCTGTGTTAAGTTTGCAGGTTCTCCCCGTACTTGCGTGGGTTTTCTCCGAGTACTCTGGTTTCAAAAACACGCACCGTAGTTTAATTGAACACTCGTAGATTGATTGAACATTCTGAAAATTGTCCCTAAGTGTGATTGTGAGGGTGAAAGGTTGTTTGTCGATGTGTGCCCTACAATTGGCTGGCAACCAGTTCAGGGTGTACCCCGCCTACTCCCCGAAGATGCCTGGTATAGGCTCCAGCACGCCCACAACCTTCGTGAGGATCAGTGGATCAGATAATGGATGGATGAATGGAGATGATGGAAAAGAAAAAAAAAAAAACAGGTACAACTTGAGCACACAAATCGTCCAAAATGTGATTCAATCTCAATACGTTACTAGATAAGACAAACTATTATTTCGCACTTTTCTTCAAAAGAGAAAACCTTCATAGCCCTGAGACTGGCAACCATCAACATACACTGATTGTATAGTGGCCGTCTATTAGACACAGCTCTTGAGTTGTCCAGGTTTCCGGTGCAATCTTACCAAAGATACATACATCCTTGTAATCCCTCATAAAATACATTCTCCAAATTTACTGGTTCTAATTATTGGTGGAATAACATTTGGCCCACAAACGGTCACGGAGGAATCTTTCCAACATTATACTTGCCTGAACAGTTGCTTCTTTGCAAAATGATAGCAAAATGTGCTGAGTGATGACTGTCCTTTCCCACACTCACATTCCACCTGCAACCTCGAGCGGTTAGTGTATCCTGAACATTAACTTCTCTCGAATGAGCATCAACAGAGTGGCATCAAGCTACATTGCAAACTTTAATTTTTTTATTTTATTTTTTTAATGTATACTGTATTAGACAACTCATAGTGAAGTGAACCAGAATTTTTTTGAGGGGGGAGGGGGATTTGCTCAGGAAGGCGTGTTGGCAGACTCAACGGCAACAACCTCCAGTCATATAGTAAATGTGTCAAGTGTGATGCTTGTAAAAGCACAAGACCTCATTTAATCTCCTGGCACCTGTGTCATACTTGGCAACTCTCAGCAGGAGAAATGGTCTTGAAAAGGACAGATGCACTTTTTGCCCTGACATATCTGCATACTGCTTGCACCCCATCACACGAGCTTACTTGTAGTGTGTCAATGCAAATTCAATGAGAAAGTAGGGTTTACAGTGCTTGAAAATTGTTCATTGCCCTGTGTAGCCTTGTACAAATTCTCATTGGTTTGATACCTTGAGACTGAGAAAAGGTTAGGTTTCAGATGGGTATTGGTCGCCTTAGTGATTCAGAGGATTTTTTTTTTTTGTCCGCTGTGTCCTTGGGGCTCTCACGTATCAACACAAAACAAGAAACCAACATGGGGACAAGAGTTGAGGTTGAGGTTGGGTTGGAGTGCTTTCCATGAGCGTTGCAGATCCTTATCAGATGTGCTGAGCTCGTCCGTTCCAGATTCCTGGAAGCAGCGATGCTGAAATTTCACATGCATGAGAATTGTCATTAAATTCATGATGAGATGATGAACGGGGGCTGTTTTCTTTCTTGGCACAGAGTCATCAGCTTTGCCCTCCCCTAAATTTGTCACATTTCAGATCCAAGTCAGCTGGATTGAACCACTTGTTCCCAGACTTTGTTCCCTGGGAACCACTGCCAGAACTGCGTGTTTTCCCGAGACATATGATACTGAAACAAGAGCATATTACCAGCTAGGGGTGAGTCAGAGGCTGCTCCAGTCAACTAAAAGAAGACAAAAAAAAGGGAAGGATGG